GTTTCGATCTCACCTTCGACGCCTTCACCAGAACCTCGGGCATCCCTCGAACGACGACCTGGCCAGGAACCTGAGGCTCAACGGCGCGGGCGATGCTCTCGTCCGCGGCGCCAAGCACCTGCGCTGTGCTACGTGCAACAGGACCAAGCCTGCTGCGGGATCTCATCGAGTCCCTCGCCTGTCGCCAGTCGGCGGCTTCAATGACGAGCTGGGCGTCGATGGCCTCTACCTTCGGAACGTGCACGGGAAGCCCTACCTGTTCCTGTCGCTCGTCGAGGCCTCCACGACGTACCACGTCGCACGCTACCTGAAGAACAGGAAGCCAGCCACCGTGGCTAAGGTCTTCCGAGAACTGTGGCCTGCTGGACCGCCCAGCGTGGTCAGGCTCGACCCGGACGGCATGTTCTATACCGGGTTTCAGGAGGCCATGGACATGACGGGGATCCGCGTCAAGGCCGTGGCGGGCCAGGCGCAGTGGCAGAACGGCCGCACTGAGCGGCATGGCGGCTGGCTCAAGCTCATGGTCAACCGCGTCGTCGAGCACAAGTCAGTCACGAGCCGCGGTGACCTTGAGACCGCCGTCTGGGAGACCTGCCAGGCCAAGAACGACATGCGTCGGATCTGCGGCTTTTCACCGTCGCAGTGGGTGTACGGATGCTCGCCTACCATGTCTGCCGACCTGATCGATCGGCCTGGCCAGATTGCAGAGCACAGCATGCATCACGTGTCCACGGGGCTGGCCAGGAGGATCGCTATCCGCACGGCTGCGCGGACGGCCTCCGTGGAGCTGCAGAATAGTCAAGCGCTCCATCGAGCACTCTTGCGGAAGCCGAGGGTCGCCCGCATCAACTGCCAGAACGGTGACCTGGTGTTCTACTGGCGGCTGCGCAAGGGGGCGAAGGTCCACGAGTGGCGAGGCCCAGCCGTCGTCATCGGCCCAGCGGGAGCGTCTAACTTTCGGCTCTCGCATGGTGCTGGGACCGTTCAAGTTTCTCACGAGCAGCTCCGACCCGCTGAGGATGAGGAGATCTGGTGGCCTGGTCAGGGCGACGATCCCAACATCGAGGAGCTGAACGAACTCATCCGCCAGGTCGAGAAGGAGGACCAGCCAGAGTACGAAGACGACCGAGGGCGGGGACCACGTGAAGCAGAAGAGAAGGCCCAACCTCTACAGCGGAGAGAAGGCCAGGACCTCGGGGACACCCTCGAGGAGCGAGCGAGAGAGTTGGAGCTGGAGATCGAGGAGATCGAGAGGGACAAGCGCCCGGCTGACGCTGCCGAGCGCCTGGAGGACGAGCCGCCCCGCAAGCGGCAGGAGGCGGCTGCGTCATCGGGACCCGCGCCATCGACCCGCGTGGAGCCTCCAGCGTCGACAGCGACGCCCTCTCAGCCAGCTCTACCCGAACAAGGAGTTCCAGACACGAAGGAGGAGTTCAAGAAGCGCCAGGCGGCTTTACAAGCCCGGCAGAGCCAGGTGTTCCGTCCGTTCCCTGTCGGACCGCTTCAGCACCCAGGCGATCATCCAGAACGACCCGTTCACTTCGCCAATTTCAGTTTCGGCCTGATCGCGAAGCGGAGCTGGAACACGACTAGGCTGCAACGTTGAGCGCTGGAAGAGGGGATGCCATGGAACATGATCCCAGCCAGCGACCGCCCCCTCTATCGCGAGGCGGCCGAGTTGCAGTGGAAGCAGTGGGAGAACTACGACGCCGTCGAGCCGCTCTCAGTCGAGGAAAGTCAGAAGGTTCGTGAGCGAGTCCACCAGAGCCGCATCTTGACGTCGATGTTCCTCTACCGGGACAAGAACGCTGGAGTCAAGGACGCGCCGCCCAAGCCGAAGGCTCGGCTGTGCTGTGGTGGCCACAACGACCCGGACCTCACGATGGGGCTCAGGACCGACGCGCCGACCGTGTCGAGGCATTCGGTGCTCACCTTCCTGGCAGTGGCGGCGGCGAGCGATTTCGATATCGTGGCCGGCGACATCGAGTGTGCCTTCATGCAGGGCGAGGAGCACGGGCGCGCCGAGGAGCTCTACATGTCTCAGCCCAAGGAGGGCCTGCCGAACATGGACCCTCGGTGCCTCCTGAAGGTCAAGAAGGGCATCTTCGGGCTTGCGGATGCGCCGCGGCTGTGGTGGCGACGTCTGCGTCGGGGCCTGGTCGAGGCGGACTTGAAGGACGAGGATGTCAAGCCCATCCTCATGATGCAGTCCTGGCTCGACCCGACGGTGTTCCGCGGTTTCAACGAGGACGGCAGGCTGTGTATTTTGGTCTGCGTACATGCTGACGATCTCCTTGTAGCCACGAAGTCGCAGGCCCTACTTCAGGGAGTTCGAGGTCTCTTCAACTTCGGCGAGTGGCGTCACGTGCCTGTGGTGTTCTGCGGGAAGCTGCTGCAGGCGGACCCAGAAGGAGGTTTCCTGCTGGACCAGCCGACCTCCATCGAGGGCAGGCTCGAGCCGATCGAGATCGACAAGGCCCGGAAGCGTGATCCGAGCCTGGAGTGTAATGCCCGCGAGATCGCGGACAATCGCAGTGCAGTCGGCAGTTTGGGATGGCCAGCTCGAGAGACGAGACCCGACCTGTCGTGTACGGTATCTATGGCCCAGCGCAAGCAGAATGCCCCCTGCATCCAAGACCTGCTGGACGTCAACAAGGCCATCGGAGTGCTGCAGAGCTCGGCCAGCGAGAAGTTTCACATCCCCAAGCTGGACGTGGAGTCCCCGTGGTGCCTGATAGTCTACCACGACGCTGCATGGGGAAACGCGCTCACCGAGGATGAGGCCCTACGTCGGATCGCTCAAGGGGAGAAGGTCCACCCGCAGGCGGGGTACCTGGTCTACCTGTGCGAGCGTGCAGTTGCTGACGGACGCCCGGCTAAGGCGATCCTGGTGGATTGGAGAAGCCACGCGCTGCCGCGCGTGGCTAGGAGTACCTTCGCTGCCGAGACTCAGAGTTGTACCGGGGCGTTTGACTCAGCAGAGTTTGTGCGCGCTGTGATACTCGAGATGATGTATGCCGACTTGGACGTGACCAACCGTGAGATGCTAGCCAACATTCGTATGCTCCCGATCACGTGTGTGACGGATTGCGAGTCGCTGTATGACACCCTCCAGTGAGATGCCGGTAAGTTCCCGCAGGAGAAGCGCCTGATCATGGATCTGGCTTGGCTGCGTGAGGCCATGCAGCTGGAGGCTGCCGTGGACCTCCGCGAGAGTATGAACGTGGCAGATGTGCCGATGCGGTGGGTCCCCACAGCCTATATGTTGGCCGACGTTCTCACTAAGACGATGGATTTGTCAGGTCAGTCCTGTCGCTTGGTCTCGGGGTCGCTACACATCCCGAGGAATTTGCCAGGCCCGGACGAGGGCCAGTGACTTGTTTTCTTTTGTGCCTGACCGCCCGGCAAGCACGTTTGCATTAGCATGCCTTTCGTATCTTGTGGTATTTTATTTTACGCCTGACGGCGACAATAACCAGATAATCCGTGCGATCGTGTCCAGCCAATTTTGGGAACAAGATTTTAAGATCAGTGTGACTGTGCGAGCTTAGTTGACACGCGTATATTGTGCACATGTGTATGCGCTCGCATGCCGATGGCGGTTCTTCCCACATTGTCTGTGCGTTCAGGTGCGCCTTTCGGCCTTTGGCATAACGGCTTGTGAAGCCCTCGCTGCAGGTAGAACGCATCATTTACATTGGGGGCACTGTGGGCCGTCTTGAAGTCATCTTGGCTCCTCGTGGGGCTACTCGGGGTCGTCTCGGCTCCCTCTTCTACTGTCTTGGCGCTCTTCCTGGGCGGCCCTCGTGGGGCTTTTTGCAGGCTCTGGAAGCCCCTGGGGTGCGTTGGGGAGCTCGTACCCCCCTCCCCCCCTGCGCCCATCCGTCCAGATCGGATTTCAGCCAAGTGTACCACACGCCCGTTCACCCTCGGCAAGCGAGGGTCGGCGGACGGCAGTGGGGGCCCATGCCAAGAGGCACCCTGCTTGCCTCCAGGGGGCCCTGGGTTTCTTGGACTCTGATGGTTTTGCTATGAAAAGCGTGACGTCCCCACGCCAAAAATCAATGGACGTCCTGGGGTCTCAGGGGTTGGGTTTCTTGTGGAAGGTTTCTTGTGGCGGGCCCCCTACTGGATGGGTAGTAAACCTTGGGAGGGGGGTGCATGCAGCAGCACGTCACCAGGAGGGGGGAGGGCTCTTGCAATGTTGCGTAACTCCTGCCAGACAGGCATTGTGTCACGCCTCAACGTGCCAGGGGGCAAGGTGGCGGACCTTTCGGTTCCCCCACTTGTACGCATTCCATCAGTGCGAAGACATGTTTCCGTCCTCGCATTCGCCTCCGAGCCAAACCGAGAATTGCCGAAAACAAGTTTTTTTCGCCACCTCCATCTACCAGCCAGCTCGATTTGAATTAGCGGCGGGGGTATCGCAATGCAGCGTCGATGTTTCCGGCGGGGTCAAAACGTTTCGCCGAAGGTTCAGTTTTGGGAGCCCACAAGTTAGGTGGTGAGATATCAGGTGGTGCCCTGGAATCCCCAACAAGTCACCGCCAGGTTTTGGAACATGGGGTCAACTCCGGGTTTTGTGACTCCTGGACCCACCAGCGTTCGGGCCATCCTTGAAAAACCACACGAGTCCCCAAACCGGGTGGTGACATCAAGTCGGCTGAGACTCACAGCTGGGCACTGTCACCACCACGTTTGGGGGCTACAAACAGTTGGGATCCATCTGCGAAAAATCCCTGTCCAGCCCTGTTCGGAGAGGAGGAGGAGGAGTGGAAGGAGGAGGAAGAGGAGGAGGAGGAGGAGGAGGAGGAGGAGGAGGAGGAGGAGGGGGAGGAGGAGGAGGAGGAGGAGGTTGTGAAGGAGGAGCAGGAGCAGGAGTAGGAGGAGTAGGAGTAGGAGTAGGAGTAGGAGAAGGAGGAGGAGGAGTAGGAGGAGGAGGAGGAGGAGGAGGAGGAGGAGGAGGAAGACGGAGACGCGGCCCCACCCCCCGTTCGAAGGACATCGGCTTGGAGAAGCGCGACGCGGAGCCTTGGGCTGTTGCCGCATTGCACCCTTCCGCGCCGGGCTCCAATCCATTTCCACTGCAGTCCTACATTCCACAACAGTCTCAGATTTCCTGCTCGAGGCATGCCTCGTCGTAGTAGTCGTCGTCCTCTTCCATTCGCCTCCTGCACTCGTTCTTTCTTCTTTTTCATTCGCCTCCTGCACATCCTCATCGTCATCTTCCCGCCTCCCTTCTTCCCGATTCCCCCTGTGTCCGTAGCCGTTTTGGCTCAGGGCCAAGCTGAGCGTATTCTGAGAAAGTTTGTTTTGCCAAATCTTGCTGTGTTTTTACCTGATCTGCTGGATGTCACCTTCAGTTCGAACGCGGTCTGCTAGCTCTTGCTTCACCCAGTGGACGAAGTCTTCGGCGGGGTGATGATGACGCAGCTCCAGCGACTCGTTTGATTGAAGGCTTCGAGCTTCGTTGAGGAGCGGCCATCCCTCCATCACAGTACACACCTCTCCAGGGACCCAGCCTGCTGGCAATGGCGGGGATGGCCTGGATCACATGATCCCGTGTCGAGATTTCGCAGGCCCTCTCCCCCAGCTGGGATGGGTCCGAGAGCTCCACAGGCCCCCCCCCTGCCTCAGATGGGGTGGGGCAATCCTGGTTCATATATGATCCTGAGTCCGAGGGTTCATAGGCCCCCCCACCAGATGGAACGGGTCCAAGGGTTCCACAGGCCGCCCCCCCCAGATGGGATGGGGGGAACGACGACGCCGACGCCGACGCCGACGCCGACGCTGACGCCGACGGACGCCGACGCCGACGCCGACGCCGACGGACGTCGACGACGAAAGCAAAGACGACACAGACGACAAATACGAAGACAAAGACGGTGACAAAAACGGTGACAAAGACGACGACGAACCTCGATCTCATACGCATTGGGGGGGAGGGGTGGGGCAGCCCTGGATCGTCACCGGCGCCCCCTGCCTTTTGGAATCGCCCATGCGGCCGAGCGGTGTGGCACGAGCTCCATCAATTTATCGGACCATGTGTTCCCCCAGCCGTTGTGTAAACCCTTCGGGGAACACTTGGGGGAGGATGGCGGGGGAGATCAGAAGGAGGAGGAGGAGGAGGAGGAGGAGGAGGAGGAGGAGGAGGAGGAGGAGGAGGAGGACGACGCCTGGGACGAGGAGATGGAGGGGAAAGAATTCCTGCACTCGCAGACCTCCAGGCGTCACGCAAGAAAACACAACGGCCAGTTTTTCATTGTGGCCCTCGGGAGGCCCTATTTTCGGGCAAAGAGGGGCGCCGGGCCCGTCGAGCGCGATTGGCGACGAAAAACGTCTGGGAGCCTTTTGAGGCACTCTTGGGGCCTCCTGGGAGCTTCCCGAAAGCTTCTTGGAGGCATCTTGGGGGCCTCCTTGGGCCTCTCAGGGGGCCTTTGGGGGCTTCTCGGGGGCCTCTTCGGTCGTCTTGCGTAGGGCATTCCTGGCCCGTCTGACGCCGTCGGAAGCCGTCTTGCGTGCCCCAAGTCGCCCGACCTCCCCAGGCTGCCCCCAGCAGGCTCCCGGACCTTCAAAGAAGCTCGCAGAGGGACCCACAAGGGTCCTTCGAAGCCCCGGGGCTCCCCTGGAGGCTTCTAGAGATCCACAGAAGCTCCAAGAGGTCCTCTTGACAGCTCCAATATGGCTCTGCAGTGGCCTCAGAGCTTCGCAAGGGCGCCCCCGAGGGCTCAAACTCGTTCACAACAAGCGTGCAGTCTTAACGTTTTCCGCTCTCTCGCCTCTTCGCTTCAAATCGGATTTTGAAGCCTCCAGATGGCCCCCCAATCTTACAATTAAGTCGGGCCTGTCCCTCTTCAGGGGGAATATTCAAAAATAGTCAAAAATAGCCTGGGGATGATTTTTTGACTATCTTTGAGCATTTTCTGAATATTTTTGGGGTACTTCTAATTTTTCGCTCAAAATCCCCCTGTAGGAGGACAGTCCCGACTTAATCTTAACGGCCCCCCGAGGCGGCCCCAGGACAGCCCAAGAGGCCCCCAAGAGGTCCCCAAGAGGCCTCCGTAGCCATTTTGGCTCAAGGCAAGGGACCATCAGGGCGGAGGCCTTTGTTTGGTGCTCGCTCGCACGACCGCGAGGCCGATGCCAAATATTCTCGCGTGGGCGGCCGCCTGGCTCTGCCTGCGAGCCTCGGCGGCCGAGCTCCCCGAGGTGGCCGAGCACTTCCGGCTCGTGGACCCGGACGGGCGAGACATCCTCTCGGAGGCGGCGGCGCACCCCGCGTGGGGTGGGAAGTACCAGCCCTCGGCCAACGTGCTGGACCTGAGCTTCCGCTCTCACGGCCAGAACTTCACCTACAGGCTCTACCGCCAGAACATTTCGTCCTCCGGCGGCAGCGTCACTGTGCGCGGCGGGGGCGGCAGCGTGAGGCGCAAGGCTCTCGGTCAGCGCTTTGTCTTCAGGAGTCCCAGGCACGACGCTGTGCTGACGCCCGTCGGGCGCAGCTTCCACGGCACGGCGCGATCTGGGGCCAGGATGTTCGACATCGAGCACCAGGTCGGGAGTGCCACTCTCAGAGTCGCGCGCGTCACCCCGCCGCCGGGGGAGCTGGTCGGCCTGTACCTGAACGGCTCGGCGGCGGGCTTGGCCGGGGGCCGTCAGCTGAAGTTTGCTCCCGAGCAGATCGACAGGTGGGAGGGATGCTACAATGACGATCACGTCATGCGCCAGTTTGAGTTCGGGGCCATCGTCACCTCGAACGTCTGGCGGAAGTACGGCTTCCAGGATGACGAGGATGCAGAGGAGTGGGTCAACGCCATCGTCGCGAAGGCGAACATGGTATATGAGCCGCAGCTGAACGTCCATCTCAAGCTCGGTAGCCTGGAGATCCAGAGAAGCCACGACGCGACGGCAGAGGCCTGGGACCAGAGCGACCAGTGCACGATGACGATCAATGAGCAGCTCGATGCGCTCTCGAGCTGGACGCCACCAGCGGGCACCGCCATGGGCACGTGGCACCTCTTCGATGATTGCTTCGTGTCTGGCACGATCGGCCTTGCGTACCTGGGGGTGCTATGCCTCGGACAGTATGGAGACGGCAAGCACTACAACACCGCCGTCAACTGGGTAAGCGGAAGCACCTGGCACACCTTTGCGCACGAGATGGGGCACAACTTCAACGCCGACCACTCCTTCGAGCTCGGCCAAGGCAGCACGGGTGGCATCATGGACTACGGCGACGGGACGCTCAACGGGATATTCCAGTTCAACGAGCAGTACCGCAAGATCGAGGTGTGCAACCACATACAGGCCAAAGTCGACACGTGCACGGCCTTCTCTGTTTTCAGCCCTGAGTGCGGCAACGGCATCGTCGAGCCGGGCGAGGAGTGCGAGTGCAGCGACGGGCTGGCAGCGTGCGACGGCTGCTGCAGCTGCCAGCTGCGGCTCGAGGGGCGGCAGTGCGCCCCAGGCGCCTACGGGCACGGCGGCTGCTGCACCTCCGAGGGGTATTTCGCGGACGTGGGAGCGCGCTGCACGATGGCCGGGTCGGATGGCTTCTGCGTCGAGGGGGAGTGCGTCTTAGAGAGCGTCTGCACGGTGTACCCTATCCACTTCGGCGAGTTCTGCGGGATCGAGGGGCAGGGCTGCCAGGTCATGTGCACGATGGCCAGCAACGGTGTCTGCAGCAGCCTCAGCGGCTGGAAGGACTCGAACGGCAACAAGATCAACAACCTTCCCGACAGCACCCCGTGCACGACGGAGAGCAGTCGGGCGGGCACGTGTTACGACGGCACGTGCGTGGATAACGACGTTGTCACCATCGCACTCCCAGAAGGGACCGACGTCATCAAAGAGGAGAACGTACCGTACTCCACCTCCGTGTCCGTTTCTGGGTGTGTCGGCTATGCCAACCGTGGCTGGATAGGACATGCTGACGTGGCGTTCTGGAAGGAGGGGAAATCACTAGACAATTGCAACATGCAGTGTTTGAACGCGGAGTCGTGTCACAGTTTCACATTCAACGCCGTCACGGGTTTCTGCGAGCTGTGGACCATGCACCATTTCGTGGACGATTTGGCCGTGGTGCCAGGCTACGACACCTTCATCTGCCACGCCCGGGCCGTAGGCGCCGACTTTCTCGACGCCGACGTCTACCACGGCGCCGACCTGCTTGAGCCGGGCGTGGCGGCACGCGAGCGCAGCGTGGACAGCGGGCTCACCCTCACGCTCTGCTACAAGGCATGCATTACGGACCCTGGGTGCCACGTGTTCGTCTTCGCCGAGGTCACCGGCAGCTGCCAGCTCTATCCGTCGGAGGTGTCGTACAGCTTGTGGGACATGAAGCAGGGGTACAGCACCTACATCCTGCCCTGCCACGGCCGCGGGCAGGTCTGCCCCTGCAGCCCGAGCGGGACCTCGAAGATCCGCATGCCCTGCCAGTGCGACGCGGCCAGCAGCCCCCACCACAACGAGTGCGCCGTCGGCCAGTACTGCTACGATGGCGCGTGCCACGGCCACAAGCAGCGGCGGCTGTCGGCCGACGTCTGCTCGGCGACGCCCGCGGTCACCACCACGAGCGTCGTCGGAACCCGTACGGACACCACGACGCCGTACATGTACGTGGTGGACGTGCTGGAAATAACCGTCGACTGCAGCACCAGCACGAAGGCGCATATGGAGTCGGCTCTCGCCGCGTGGGCCGCTGACAAGCACAGCGTAGGGGTGAACAAGGTGATTCCTTCAGCCGTGATGTCTCCTTTTTCACCTGGTACTACATTATCTTGGGACCTGTCGTACCAGCTCCGCCTGGATGATAGTTCGGACTTGGCAGGTGCACAACTCTGGTCAGATGTGCATCTTCCCATCGCTGCGAACCTGGTCAAGAACCTTGCTTCAACCAGGTCTGATCTGGCTTTGAGTTTCAGGGACAACGATGTGTGGCTTTCGAGAGTCTGGAGCGTCGCGCTGACGAATCCGATCGATGAAGAAGGGGCCTGCTTCAGCACCAACTCGAATAGCAGGGATGAGTTCGGGGACAGCTGTGAGGTGTACCTTTCCAATCCAGCTTGGTGCGGCAAGTATGATGACAGCGATTTCACCTCTGCGAGCATGTGCTGCGGGTGCGGTGGTGGCGTCGACCACGAGCCGCAGACGCCAGCTCCTACCCCAGCTCCAGCTCCCACTCCTGTTCCCGACTGCGTCGACACGGACTTTGGTGAGGTCGACGCGTATGGCGATGGCTGCGAGTCTTATTCGGTCTCTCCACAGTACTACTGCGGTGCGTTCGACGTCGGCCGTTTCGACTCCATGACCATGTGCTGTGTCTGCCACGCGTACCGTCCGCCGACTCTGCCGCCCACTCCGGCTCCTCCCCCTCCGTCGCCGTGGTGGGACACCGGGATTCTCGACGGGGCGGTGTCGTGCCGGCTCTCCCTGCTGCCGCTCCTCGCCGCGGCCGCGGCCTGCGCGCTGCACGGCCAGGTCTGAGGGCGGCCTGGCAGCGTCTGCGGCTCGCAGGGGCGTGCACCCCTCTTCTGTGCGCTCTCTCTCTCTCTCTGTCTTTCGTTCTCCCTCTCCCTCTTCCTCTCTCTATCTCTTCCCTCTTTCCCAGCTGCCAGAAGACGAGTAAGTGCTGCGATGCTACGGTGCGCGCTTGCTTCGCACGAGGAGTCCTGAGGGTTCATCCCTTGGACTTGACTAGGAGCGTCTCGCACTCATCTTCGGACGGGTTGATCGCCTTGCAAGATTGAGCTTGTCTAATTTTGAACATACCTTGTATGTTGGACTTGCATGCGAGATGAATGTTTACCGAAGACGCTGAACGCCCCCCGCTAACCTTTCGTATTCGCACTGTCGCCGAAGACTTCAAAGAGTAACACAACCTTGTGTTGTCAGTGCTGATGTGGGTGTTTATGGGGTTCTTGCGCTCCGTGGTAACAAGCCCAGCCCTGACAGCAGAGCAGAGCTGGCAACGGTTTCAACTGCGCGATGGTAATGTCCACTCCTTCTGCACTGCTTTTCCCTGGCAGACAATTCCGAGTGATACCACTGCGCCGTCTCTGGTTCCCATGGCTTCCGTGCGTGCAAGCCTTTTTCCGTCGCAGGGATCGAGGGATCCTTTTCAAATTTTGTTCACGGCCGGCGCACGGGTGCCGACCCTTCTTCTTAGCTCGCATGATGATTGTGGCATCTTTTTTGCCAAGGAGCAGGGGCACGCTTCAGAGTCTCCCACATCATGTCCCCATCAAAAAAAGAAAGAGGTCCCCAAGAGGCCCTCGAGAGGTCCCGAGAGGTCCCCAAGATGGCCCCAAGAGAGCTCTGCGAGGGTCCCAGGAGGCCCTGGAGCCTTCCCAGAGGCCCCTGAACGCTCTCGGCGCCAAGATGGCCCAACGAAACCCCCGGAGAGTCCCAAGAGGCCCCCAAGGTCTCCAAGAGGCCCCCAGGAGGCCCCCTAACAGGCACACAAGAGGCCCCCCTGGCGGCCCCAAAGAGTGGCCCAGGAGGCCGCCAGAGTTCCCGCACAGGACTTCCAAACGGGCCACATCGGTCAAAACCAACATGAATCATGAAGCGCAACGTGTTTTGCTTTCTTTTCTGGACTTCCCATTTGTTGCGAAATTGTGGTTCCAAGATGGCCTGGGAGGCCAATTTCTGTCCGAAGAGAGTTGCAACATTGCCCAAGGATGGTCCAGGACTGCCGCGAGCACCCAGCCCCAGTGCGAGTTCAGGCACAAGCGCGTGGGCTTCCAAGCCAAGGACCTGATCATCCGTATACGTCCCCTCTGGCGCGCTATTTGGCCCATGGCAAGTATAACTTGAGCTCGCGCGAAGCGCGCGCGCGATGGTCTTAGTAGTTGTGGTACAGGTGTGTATGTATGTATGTATGTATGTATGTATGTATGTAGGTAGGTAGGTAGGTAGGTAGGTAGGTAGGTAGGTATGTAGGTATGTAGGTATGTAGGTATGTAGGTATGTAGGTATGTAGGTATGCATGCATGCATGCATGTATGTATGTATGTATGTATGTATGCATGCATGCATGCATGCATGTATGTATGTATGTATGTATGTATGTATGTATTTATGTATGTATGTATGTATGTATGTATATGTGTATGTATGCATGTATGCATGTATGTATGTATGTATGTACGTATGTCTGCATGCATGCATGCATGTATGTATATACCTATATATGTATGCATGCATGCATGCATGCAAGTATGTATGTATGCATGCATGTATGTATATGCATGTATGTATGTACGTGTGTATGCATGTATGTATGTATGTATGCATGCAGGTATATATGTATGTATGTAATTATGCATGCATGTATGCATGTATGTATGTAGTTATGTATGTATGTAGGTCTGCATGTAGGTATACATGCATGCATGCATTCATACATACATGGTTGTACGTAGGTATGTATGTAGGTAGGTAGGTAGGTATGTAGGTAGATAGGTAGGTAGGTATGTAGGTAGGTCTGTATGTATATGTATATGTATGTATGTCTGTGTGTATGTATGTATGGATGTATGTATGTAAGCATGCATGCATGCATGTACGCATGTATGTAGGTAGGTAGATAGGTAGGTGGGTAGGTAGGCAGGTAGGTAGGTAGGTAGGTAGGTAGGTATGTAGGTATGTAGATATGTAGGTATGTATATATGTATAGGCACGCCATCGATGCAATCTTGCTTGGCACTGGCAATGGCAGCGGCCGTGACCGCAGAGGCCATGACTGCCGCAAATGTTGTTGTAGCTGTGGCCATGGAGGCGGCTACTGCGCTTGTTGGCTTTGCTTCTGCACTGGCCGATTCAGGAGACAAGGTGCAGGCAGATGTGGACATAGAGTCCACTGCGGACGTTGAAGTACTTTTGGTACTGGCGGAGGCCTAAGCGAAGGAGAGGCGAAGGCGAAGGCTGAGGCGGCGGCCATACCTAAGGCTGACTCGAATGCCATGGTCACAGCGGGTGAGGTGAATGCGGCAGCTGGGGCAGGTGACGAACAAGACAAAACAAAGCATGCGTCGAGGGTGCATTAGGTGTGTGCGACAAGCGTTTTTGATAGCGGTCGCGAATAATACCAAGGACGATGGAAGTGGCTGTCCGAAGTGCACGGGATACCACACTCGTGCTTGTTCTGCCCGCTTCTTGGACTGAGCGTGTTTCCCTCACGACCGCATGGTGGCTTGTGCCGATACGTGGCCGAACCTGAACAGCAACGTTGACCCGCATAGTTCACCATGTGCTTAGTGCCATCACCATGCAAGTTCGTGGGACCCCCATCGGCTCATGAGTGGGGGAGCTGTGACGCGTGCTGGGTTGTCATGGTCTCCCTCCTCCTCCTTCCCTGCCGACAGAGGGTGCGCCGCCGTCTACTGACAGGGAGCGTCCGCTCGTGATCCTCGTCTTCTCCTCCCCTCCCTGCCTCCTCATTCTCCGTTCCTTTCCTTATGAATAACTTCTCCCTGTCGCACCCCTAGGCCAGTTTTTAGGGCGGGCCGGGCGTGTCGCCTGAGACTTCCTCACCACTTATGGCTCTGAAGCTTAAAAAGTGGCAGCAGTTTCACAGATGGAGGGCGGGTGGTTTTCAAAATGTGGCTCTCGCCTAGGCGCGGTGCACACTCGTTTTAAAGCATTACAAGAGTTTCATGGGTTGAGGGCGGGCCGTTTTCAAAATGTGGCTCTCGTCTTAGCGCCGCACGCACTCGTCTTATACATTTGCAAGAGTTTCACGGATTGAGGGCTGGTCGTTTTCAACATGTGGTTCTCGCCTTAGCGCCGCGCGCATTCGTTTTAAACGTTTGCAGGAGCTTCGCGGATTGAGGGCGGGTCGTTTTCAATTTGTGGCTCTCGCCTTAGCGCGGCTCACATTCGTTTTAAACATTGCAAGCGTTTCACGGATTGAGGGCGGGTCGTTTTCAACATGTGGTTCTCGCCTTGGCGCGGTGCACATTCGTTGTAAGAATTGCAGGAGCTTCACGGATTGAGGGCTGGTCGTTTTCAAATTGTGGCTCTCGCCTTAGCGCGGCGCGCATTCGTTTTAAACATTTGCAAGACTTTCACGGATACCCATCATCAACGTACCAGAACTTGTGTTTTGGAAGTATTCAGGATTGCGCGGGTGCAACAGTTACCTTGACTCTTTGTGTTGAAGTCCTAGGAATGGCGTCATGGCACGATTCAGGATCGTCAAGACGCAACAGTCAGGTTGATCCGTGGCGTTGGAATCCCGAGAACAATGTTTTGGCATGCTTTAGAGTCTTCCAACGGGTGCCTTCCAACGAGGCAGCTCCATCAATGGAAACGAGCCGTTGTAGGGGCATATGGAGAGGGAACTTGGAGGGAGGGTTTACTCTAACATCGTTGATGACTCTTGGGTTCACACTGGTCCTCCTCCTCCTCCTCCTCCTCGTCCTCCTCCTTCCTCCTCCTCGTCGTCGTCGTCGGCGCCCTCCTCCCTCCCTGCGGCTCCCCGAGGACGCGGCGACGGCGGGGGAGGCGCCGAAGGGGGCGGACGCACCCTCGCCGGAGGCCCCGCGCAGCTGGGCGCCGGGGAGGGCAGGCAGAGGGAGGGCAGCCGCGGTCCGCCAATGTTAGGTCGGGCATGTCCCCCTACAGGCGGATTTTGGACGAAAAATATCGGGGGTGGACAGAACCCCCAACAGTGACACGTCGATTAGTGAATTGTCCGTTTTCGGTTCTCGAGAGGGCGCCGTGGCCGTTATTTTCCAGGCTTGCGCCCGCCAGGTTTGGGCCTCAGGTCGTTTTCACTAAACCACGTTTTGCTAAAGGGGGGTCTGTCCATCCCCGAAAATAGAAAGTACCCCAGGAATAGTCCAAACTGGTCAACCACTGGAAGAAGCTTCCCCAGATTATTTTTTTTTGATCACTTTTGAGTATTCCTTTTTTCGAGGGACAGGCCCGACTGAACGCTGATGCCGGGCTGCTGGGGCGTGGTGGAGCTGCGCGCCACATTCGCCCCGGTTTCGGGGCGTCGGCGCACCACGGAGTGTTATTGCCGTTCAGGGATGGGGGGGGGGTAGGGAGGGTGGGATGGAGAGAGGGATGGATATGGAGAGGAGGGAGGGGGGGATTGCAAGAGGGAACGGGGGAGGGAGGAGGGTGGTGCTGAAACGCCCAAGGGGCAAAGCTCCAAGCGTGAGGCTTGATGGCAGGGGGTCGGGCCGGGTATTCTTGTGACAACCGATGGCTTTATTTCAAATGATTTCGAGTCTAACATACAGCTGTCTGCGGCAAAACTCGCCACCATGCCAGTGCAGTAGCACGAAATTAAACCCGTTCAAGCTCAATGCGTAGTTGGTCAGTTGGTTGATCGGCTAAATGGTGGGCGTGTTGGCAATCAGACTGGCTTTGGTTGGCTAGTTGGCTGGCTGGCTTACAGGCAAATTGTTGTTTTGCTGGTAGGTTCGATTAAACTTGGAAACAAACTAACAGTTTAGGGACAGAATCAGTGGCGTGCTTCATTGCGAATCGTAGGTGCGGGTGCAGAAACAACGGGATCGTGGCTGCACGATCGCGGACCCATAGCTTTTACGAGGAATCCCATCCTTGGAAGCGCGAGTCTACTTTTTTGCATCGGATCATGGCCTCGGGAGCTCGTACCCAATCTTCGATGTTGTTGACCTTGTCCGTGGGTGTTTGCCCTGGAGAATCCTGTTCTGCCATCCTTCAGGGCTACTGTATTTCTCTTGCAGCAGACGCACACGACTAAGGACCCCCCTCCGAGCGCTGCAAGCAGAGCAACCGGATGCCGAGTGCGCCAACGTCCTGCAGCTTAGGTGGGAGGACGACAGGAGCAGCCCTCGTCGGAGCGTCGGTCGGATTCACTGAACAGCAGTTCACGTGCCCTGCGAAACTTACAACAAATCCTGCATCTCCCATCACCCGGCGGCGAGCGAGGGGGGGAAGTGAGAAGGGGCGGGCCCTCTCAGAAGTCTCAGAAGTTCCGCAGCCTTCTGAGAAGTTTCCTGAGCCTCCCCCGAAGACAGACAAAACTTCTCAGAAGCCGCGAGGGCTTCTGAGAAGTCCCGCCGCCTTCCGAGAAGGCCTTCTCCTTCTCATTTCCCCCCCTTACCCGCCGCCTAATCGCTGGTGCGGCAATCCCAGTCATATGGACGAACCTCTCCCAAACTTCGGGCCCGGGCTCGGGCTCGGGTTCCGTCGGGCCTGTCCCTCTACAGGAGGACTATTCAACAAAAAAGTCAAACCATAGTTTTTTGCTACCTTTTTTGGGCGTTTCGGGGTATTTTTTCTAGTATTCTCATTTTTCCGCGCCAAGTCCCCTGTAGGCCGACTTACGGCTCGGGTTGCCGACGGGCCCAGGGGGCAGCCTTGGAGGCCCGCGGTGGGCCAGAGGGGCAAGGGCCGAGCGGCAGGCTTGCGGACTGGGCCCCTCGTTAAGCGGGGGGAGAAGCAGGGAGAGGAGGGGGGAGGGGGAGGAGGAGAGAAGCAGGAGGAGGGGAGGGGGGAGGGGAGGGGGAGGAGGGGGAGGGGGAGGGGGAGGGGAGGAGGGAGGAGGAGGAGGAGGGAGGAGGAGGAGGGAGGAGGAGGAGGAGGAGAGGAGGAGGAGGAGGAGGAGGAGGAGGAGGAGGAGGAGGAGAGGGGAGGAGAAGAGAGGAGGAGGGGGAGGGGGAGGGGGAGGGGGAGGAGGAGGAGGAGGAGGAGGAGGAGGAGGAGGAGTAGGAGGAGGAGGAGGAGGAGGATCTGAGGAGGACGACGCCGGGGACGAGGAGACGGAGGGGACAGAACCCTGCACTCGCAGACCTCCAGGCGCCACGCAGGAAAACACAGTGGCCAGTTTTTCATTGCAGGTGGCCCTCAGGAGGCCCTATTCTTCCGGGCAAAGGTGGGGCGCCGGGCCCGTCGAGCACGATTCGCGACGAGAAACGTCTGGGAGGCGATGACTGTGGGAGCCCGCGAATTGAGTAACATGTAACGTCTGAAGTTTGGACCTTCTGCCGTCCAAGCAGGGGAGGGCGCAGGAGGGGAACTCGGACGACGCCGACGACGACGGCAACGACGACGAGCACGCGCCCGCAGTGCGCGCGCACGTCACGCACAACAGGAGCACTGAACTTGAAGGTCGATTTGGTTTATCAGCCTAGCAGAGGCCTACTTCAGATACGTGCTTGACTACTTTCCTCCCTGTCCCTCTCGCGTGTTCTCTTTCGCTTCTCCGTGTGTCCCCTTCAGATGTTTTTTTTTACCGGTTCTGGGCGCGATGGTCAGCTTACCAGTGTGGAGCCCTGGCGCATGCTCAGTTTTTCGGACGCTCGCATCTTGAGCGTGCCAGGCCGATTTGTTGGCCCCATGTGGAGCAGTGTAGCTGCTTCTGTGTGTACTGAGTCTTGAGATGCTCGTGTGAGCCAGGGGTAAGTAAGCATACTTGTCACACCTTCGCGCCCTTGCTCCGATATCGTGCATCGCGAGACGCTCACGGATCAGTCGTATCCCTGCGCCGTTGTTATTT